CATAACATATAACATTAAACTGATATTTCAGAGCGAAAGATCTACTTTCCTATAAATTACTTGTAAAGATCTACATCATAATGCACATAGATAAACTGGGTTTTCCCATAAATAAGTATAACATATAATCATAAAAGAGGTAATCACCTGTGTATGGCACAGAGCCGTTTCAACCTCATACATAACTCATCACCGGTACTCCATGCTTTCGTCCTTTTCGCTTACAAGTTAACGTCTAAAATGCATAAAAACCTTTCTTACTCATAATACTCTAGATAAAAACATACAGAAGATAATGGAATAATTTAATCATTACTCATTTATATTTAAGCTGAAGCAATACAAAGTACTACTTTACACAATGTAAAGTTACAACTCACAATGGAGATTTTGAATAGAGAATAATTTAATTTAAATGCCAAACAAATAAAGTTTACAGCTAATCCATACTGTACAAGATAGCTAGATACAATAGATTGAACTCATACTACTTAAAACATAACTTACCTACAACTTCCCTATCTGTCTTACAGTCCCTTTGGTCGTAAAATGTCTTGATCAAAAGATTGGTGTTTTCAGTTTGGCAGGCAAGAGAGTACTGATCTTCCTTACAAAAAGATTCCCGCCAAACTGACCAAAGGGTATTATACTAGTTTGACCAATAGAAAAATGGACAGATATCACATGTACGCCATGTGATATATAAAAATAGAACAATACAGGTAAGTAATCAAATAATCACTCCCTGTAACCTATAACACACACATATCTCTTTTACACACTCTAAACAATTTGGGCACAAACAAATAGACATGTATACATACAAATTATATAAAACAAGATAGTAATCACCCTATTACATACAGTTAGTTTTTTGTCCTTGGCCTGCAAAGAGAATGCACAAGTTTGCGTACGCTACAGATATATTTAAGGAGAGGGCCCTTAAACCCCTACCCTAAGACGGTATCACTTAATTAATAGGGGATATGACTGGAATTTCGATATAGAAATAATTACCTAGTGTGTTATATTTCTATGCTCTTTTCCACAGAGTCTGGTAGGGGAGTGTGCAAACCACGAGTGTAATGTAGACCAGAAATGTATTGAGCTGACGTCAGGAATACGGACATGCGTCAATCACGGTAAGAACAACTGTCTGCCCTATCGTGACCATCTCTATTGTCTTAGTTATAAAATGTAATGGTTCTCAAAAGTAAGATATCTAGCTCACTGTCAGCTTGGTATTTGTTTCTTAATTGTTAGGTTTATAGTAAATGCATCTAGTTTCAACGTTTGGTTATCAACTATACCGCAATGTTCAATATTGTCTCTCCAAATAGGGATTGTAGTTTGAGCTACATACTCGAATGTGTAAATGATAGAGTCATTCAAACCACGGACCAAGAGGAATACACATGTGGAATTAAAGAAAGTGGCCCGTCATGTCATTTTTTGAGATGTTGTGATTAAATAGTTATCTGTTTGAATAAAAGATTGATGATCTAGTTCTTCATATGTGTCTCAAAATGAAATATGCAAAATGACGAGTTGAAATGAGGACAGCAGATCAAAAAGATAACTTTTTGACTGTGTTTGGGGTTTTGTTTGATGTTTTTTGTTGAACGTCCTTTAAACAGCTAAGGTCAAATTTAAAGACCTGCCGAGCGTGTGTAAATATGCGTGCTTGTTTGCTGATAGCAAGGTATTTTAAAGGATTTTGGCCACGCATTTTCATAATTTCATATTTTACGGTCATTTTATGCAATAATACGTGTCGTGACAGAGACCCAGTCTTTCTTGGTACTAAGATGATAGAAAGGCCAGGTGACGCCACATCTATATCAGCCTAGTGAATATGCATATGTTGAACTCGGTACGAGGTCACGTGATATGTGACGTCACAATGGCACGACTTATACACTATCCAGTTCATTACGTGTACCTATTCTGACACGTCCCCTTTACATATATATATTATCTGCAAAACAGTGTAAGTAATGACAGCAACCAATATATGTTGTAAGGGTAAAATTATCAATCGACAAATAAAGACATCAATTCTCCGAAAGAGAAGTTATACATTCAAGTCTGAATCACGGAAATCTAATTCCGTGCCTGCGTCAACTACATTCAATATACAATGTAACCTTCAGAGATAGTAATACACAGGTTAACACACCTAAATATCTTACCTGTGAACTAAAAGGTATGATTAATTACCTGTAGTTCTTATCACTTAATGCTATAGCCAAATGGCATTTACGATACCTACCTTTGAATTAACAGGTGAACTAATTACCTCAGAGGTGTTGCCTGTGAATGTCGTGGCTAAAGGGCATTTACAACCGATCCTGCAAGCTCCTTGATTTTTGTTATTTAAACAATTTGTATATAGCAAATGGAAGACTAGGTGATGATAAAAATGTTGGTAAGGTTACTTGCAATGATTCAACTGTCATTGATTATGTGTTATTATCTTCAGATCTGTTCAAACTAGTTAAGAATTTCAAAGTTATTGATTTCACCCCATTAATATCAGATGTCCATTGTAGTATTGAACTCGTCTTACATGGAATTAATAATGAAAATAACAGCCACGGTAACCCCAGCTGTAATAGCATGTCTTATGTCAAAAGGAACTGTGAGAAAACTTATATATTTGTAGACGTAATAAAAAACGATAATGAAGATGGTGTAAACAAAATTAGTGATACATTAAAACAACTCCATGATACACCCGTGGACCAAATTAATAAAACCGAACTTAACGACATTGTGAGTCGAATAGGTAACCTCTTCACAAGGTCAGCTAATAAGGCGTTCGGTAAAAGATTTCCAGACATGCGCAAGAGTAATAAATGTACAACTAATAAACCATGGTATACTGGGAAATGTAGAAAACTGAGTTTCACTTGGCCCAGAGTAAGTATAAATTAGTGAAAAATCAAATACAAAAAAGCCCTGAGAAATAAGAGTAAACAATATAAAAAAGAAATGAATAGGTGTTTTAAGGAATATCAGCATAAAATGGAAAGGGATATCAGGGAATCTGCAAATAGTAATCCCAAAACACTATGGAATTTATTAAATAAATTATCTGGTAAAGCTAAATCTAATAAAGCTGACATACCAATAAATGAACTTTTTGAGTATTTCAAAAAGCTGAACAATTCCAATGATGACCGGGATGATGATAACATATATATTCCCGAACAAGAAAATAATACTTTTTTCTAAATACTAGACGAAGATATTTCAGAGGAAGAGATTAAACATGCGGTAAATAATTTAAAACATAATAAAGCATGTGGAAATGATGACATTTTAAATGAGCATATCAAGAGTACATTAACTAACTTTATGCCGTTATATACAATGTTATTTAACAGTATACTAAATACTGGATTAGTCCCAGACTCTTGGACAGTTGGAATAATTAAGCCTATTTATAAAAATAAAGGAGAA